CCCCCCCTCAAGATGTAAAATGTGTCAGCACCAGATCCACTGCCATTCTGGTAAGTTGGCGGCCGCCTCCGGCTGAAAGCCAGAACGGAATCCTGGCTGGATACAGCGTCTACTATCGAGCGCTGGACTCGGAGGACACGGAGCTTAAGGAGGTGAATGATATCCCCCCAACCACCAGTCAGATCCTACTGGAGTCCCTGGAGAAGTGGACGGAGTATCGCGTCACTGTCGTGGCTCACACGGAGGTGGGGCCGGGCCCGGAGAGCTCGCCGGTTATCGTCCGGACGGATGAGGATGGTAATTGCCACTTTTCTGGTTTTTCTCCCCTCTCCCCGGGGGAATTTTCGGCCTGGCCCCCGTGAGGGACACGGGGATGGTCGGGGGAATGGAGCGTCTCTCCTGTGGAGACGGGCTGAGGGAGTTGGGGGTGTTCAGCCTGGAGGAGAGGAGGCTCTGGGGGGACCTTGGAGTGGCCTTCCAGCACCTGAAAGGGACCCATAAGAAAGCAGGGAGGGACTGTTCACAAGGGTTTGGAGTCACAGGATGAGGGATAATGGCTTTAAGGTAGAAAACGTCAGATTCAGGTTAGACATGAGGAAAATGTTCTTCAGTGTGAGGGCGATAGATCCCTGCAATAGGTTGCCCAGAGAGGTGCTGGAGGCCCCACCCTGGAGATATTCAGGGTCAGACTGGATGAGGCTCTGAGCGACCTGACCTAGGTAGAGATGTCCCTGCTTGTGTAGGGAGGTTGGACCAGGTGAGCTCTAGAGGTCCCATCCAGCCTAAAACACTCTGTGAGTACGTGTCCCTGGAGTGGGCCTTTCCCACGCTGGGGGGGACACATTGAGTCCCTTCTCACTGCTCGTGTGCTGCAAGGTCAAAACCTGAACGGAGCCTCCAAGCTGGGCAGTGACCTTTGCTGCCATCTCCCCCAGCCCTCTGAGAACTGGGCCCTGGAGGGGTGTCCTGCCCTGCTTTAAAGTTGGGGATTTTTGAATTTCTGGGGGTTTTTTGAGCCTCTGAACCTCGAGTGCACCACTTTTCCTGAAAGATGCTCTTCCTGAGCAAGGAAGCAGCTGAGGCAGCAAGGAAATGAAATCAGAGGAGACTGCTGCCAGAAAGTCTTCTAAAATATTAGGAGTTCTTCCCACACTTTCCTTGTTACTAACTCCTCTTCAAGTCCAAGTTTGGTTAGAAAGGAAGACTCTCTGTTACAGTTGAAAAAGCCCCTCAGTGACAAGCAGTTCAGATGCCAGTTCAGTGGCCCAGAGACTTTTCCAGGTACAACAAGACTTGAATTTCCCCAGTAAAAGAAAACCAGGAAAAAATGTGATTGTGTCCATGTAGAGAGAGCACCCTCACTGTGAGGGTGAGGAAGGACCCTCAAATAATGTAGGTCAAGTAAATAGCATAAGTAAATGCCAAACTTCTTAGACTTTCGTCCTCCATCCCAAATAAAAAGAGGATTTTTAAAAGCCACAGGTTTGTCCCCAGTGTGGGTCCTGTTTCCCTGAGCGCCTGCCCACGTCCAGATGGATGGAATACTCTGCTCAGAACACGTAAAGTGGCTTTGCAGATGAAGATCATGCCCTGTAGTATTATTATCATTATTGTTGTTATAATTTCTTCCAAAAACTCAGCCTGTATTCCATCCAAGACATCTCTTGTTTCCTGTCCTGAGATAATGCAGTGGCTGGAACGACCACCCCACCTGTCCTGCCCAAGAGACAAGGGGACTCCAAGGGCAAGTCCCCCTCTGCATCCTCTCCATCCTGGAGGCAGGACTGGAGTTTTCTGGCTCATTAGGCATTGCCCTCAGAATGTGCTCTGGAACTAGGGGTTTTCTTCCATCTGAGCAAAGTTGGGACAAAGGAGCCTGTGGAGGAAGGGCTGGACTTGTCCAGTGAACCTGTCTCCATGCGTAGCTCCAAGCCATAGAGATCAGATCCCCCAGACTGCTTCCCTGGCTCACTGAATAAAGGCTGATGACAGAAGATGGGCTGTCTGACTTGTTGAGCCTCCCCCTCCTCTCAGGGCTGCACGTCCAGCGTGCTCGTGTCCCACAGACGCAGCGCGGCTGGCCCGTAGGTGCCGTGTGGCCCGCAGGTGAAGGGACAGGCTGCAGATCCAAACCCCGGGTGACTCTGCCCCTTCCTTCCCCTCCTCGCAGTGCCCAGTGCGCCGCCTCGGAAGGTGGAGGTGGAGGTCCTGAACTCGACTGCCATCCAAGTGTTCTGGCGCTCCCCGGTGCAGAGCCGCCAGCACGGCCAGATCCGTGGCTACCAGGTCCACTATGTCCGCATGGAGAACGGAGAGGCCAGGGGGCTGCCCCACATCAAGGACATCATGCTGGCTGACGCCCAGGTAAGGACTCTCCTTCTCCAGTCTCCTCTCGTGGAAGGTTTGAGGGGTGGGGGCTGCAGCCGCCGTGGCTCATCCCAAGCAACGTGATGGTGGAGACAGCAGCTGAGTGTCTTTGTGACAGGGCACTTGTCTTCTGCAGTTTGTTTGCACTCCCAGACAGCAGCTGTTGTGGAAGAGTATGAGCTGCTGTCCCAGCACTGAACTAAAAACCATCTCTCCTCCCTGTGTCTGGGAAGTCTTTTAAGACAGGCAAAGGCCGCAGTGGAATCTACTAATTTCTCCCACTCCTTCCTTCACGCTGGCCCGGTAACTTCTGACCTTGTGTGGTTGCTTGCTCAGGGACTCCTTCCTCACACTGTGTCTCTGTCTTTCCCTTCTTTCCCCTCCTGTATTCTCATGTGCAAAACCTCTCTTGTTCTCTGCCCAGTGGGAAACAGATGACACTGCTGAATACGTAAGTAAACCACTAAAAATCCTCCCGTCCTGGTTCTGTCCCTTCCCTTCTCCCACTTCGTGTTGTGCTGTGATATTTTCCTTCTCCTGTACGTTTTTTGCAGTGCCAGTGTGCCCGTTTTAAAGCCTGCTGGTGGTGTTCCCCTGCACTGTCCCTCCCCTGTTGGCTCTGCCCCCAGCCCCCTGTGACTGTAGTTTGTCAGCACGCAGCAGCTCCGCAGGGTTTTCCCCTCGGCTCCGAAGGAACCAAGAGGCTGCTGCCCCTCCACGGGCAAGCAGGTGGGACGTTGAATTTGGGACTGCCTTGAGCAGGTGCTTTAAGGTGGGCTGGTCTGCAAGCATCTCTGCCTTGTGTCTGAGGAACACGGTGAGGCTGAAAGTGTTGGATGCTCAAAGCCCCAGAAGTCCTGAGCTGTCAGGGCATGGACAAACGCTTTGTGCCCTTGAAGGGCCAAGATTCTTAGATACTCCCTGATACAAAGCCCTGAATCGCTATTGGCACTTCTGCCTTTCAAGTAGACCTTAAAATCAATTCAGCTGTTCTGGCGTTTGCTGCTTCTGCTAAAACACTGAGTGTTTTCCATGATCTTACAGCTCTGCAGCAGTAGGAGAAGACATTTCCTTCCTGGAATGGCAGGGCCCCAAGATAATGCACTGCTCAATTGAATATATTCATGTCTCCTAGAGATTGCCAAGTGCCCTACCAAAGTGAGGGGCCTCTCTTCTACAGGTGGAGAAACTGAGTCACGTGAAAGGCAAAGTGCCTTGCCTAAAATCTGAATAAAAATCAGAGGCAAGTATGAAAGCAGAGCAGGTTTCTTGACCTGTCTCTGTAACTAATGGCTTCCAAACGTGTTGAGCAAAATCCTGCTGTTCTGAGGTGCTGCTGTTCCACACCCTGCTCAGCTCTGGGGGCAACAGAGATGTTTTCAGGACCAGCAAATTCTTCCCAGGTGCTGCCCAAGGGAGCAGTGGGGGGTGAGGGGAGAGGGTGGCCATAAAACATGCACAGCATTCCCATCTCCCTCCTTTCCAGGGCCTTGGAGAAAACCCTGCTGCGTACGCTCTCCTGTTTGCTTCCGCACGAGCTGGTTCCTTTTCCAACACAGCCCTTTGAAGGGCTGAATGCTTCCTGGGGAGGGGCTGTTCTTGAGGCCAGTCTTGTCACCAGAGCTCTTGGGAGCCAGGTGTGGTGAGGCTGATAGAGGATGGAGGGAGGAAGGTGGTGGGGATTTAGCAGGGAGCTTTAACGTGCCAGCAGCAAACGTCGTCTTGCACTTTGCGTTAAAGCAATCCCTTTCATATTAGGAAGGCATTAAAAAAATCTCTGAGGAGAGAAGCAGGGGGGGCAATGGTGAAAATAAAAATGTAATCTCCCTGAAACTACTGAGACCTCCTCGGAGACTGCAGAGTGAAGGGGAGGCTTTGAAGAGCCTGGCAGTGTTTGGATGGCTGAAGCGGTTTGTGTCGCCCCTGAGCATCTCGTGGTTTCAGATTTGGTGAATGTTCCTGCATGCTAGAAAAGGGCTGAGACTCCTGCAAGCAGGAGAGATCTCCCCATGTGTGTGTACCTGAATACTGACGGGGTTTTCCTTTGGAATCTCACGAACAGGAAATGGTCATTGCTGGGCTCCAGCCTGAGACTACGTATTCCATCACCGTAGCCGCCTACACCATGAAGGGAGATGGAGCTCGCAGCAAACCAAAAGTGGTCACCACAAAGGGTGCAGGTAAGAGTCTTCCTGAACCACTGGGATTCACCAGTCTCCTAAAGCCAAGAAGCTCCTTCTCCAAACTCAGCTTCTTTCACTCTCTTCCCTTCATGACAGACAGACTTGAAAAAACATCGTGCTGCCCAAAGGCAAAATGATTTCCTGTAGGGCAGAAACCTCTTCGTTCCTCACAAGTAACCCTCACTAAATGCCATCATTTTCTCTCCAGTGCTGCAGAAAGCCCAGATGCACCCAGAAATGCAACAAAGGGTGAACTCATTGCTTGTGATCTGCTGTGCTGTAGATTCCAGTGCACCAGAAGTAAAGAGGGAATCTCTGCCTGGTGTGACACTGTGTGCACGTCCTCATGTTGGACAAGTTGGGGGAAAAGTACTGACAGTATTGACCTTTCCTTGGTAGCATTTCTAGGACATGGGTGCTGTCTGCACATACCACCCAAATTTGTGCCTCCCTTTGACCTATTCTTTGTGCCTGTGTGTCTGCCAGGCTCAGCAGAGGGTGGGATGCCAAGCTGGGGTGGCAGGGCTTGGACAGGGGAATGGCAAAGGGCAGCAGGCATCCCCTGTTCCTCCAGACTGTGCTGCAGGCAGGAGGGAGAGCTTCACACTCCACCTGTCCTCAGCATCTGCATCCCTGGGCTTTCTGCTCTCCTGGCTCTGCAGTCTGGGAAGGGTTTCGTGCAGCAGAGGGAGACTATGGTGCTGAAATTGTCTCATCCAGTCCATCTCTTGTTGAACTGCGGTTACCTTTTCTCACCCCATTTTGCTTGTGCTTTTTCTTTTGTTCCTGCTGTCAGATGGTGACTTTCTTCCCTTTTCATTTGTTTTCTTTGTCTGCTAACTTCCCAACCCTGGCTGTCTGTTTATTTTCTTACTTTTGGGGCAGTCATCTTCACTCTGCCAGCAGCAGCTGCATGAACTGACCTCATCCCTCGTTCCTGGGAGAACATTGCTCTCTGCCTCTGCAGGGATCAAAAGCCTTTGGTCACTGCTGTAGAATTAACCTGGAGACCTCTGCTCAGGCTCTGGAGGCAGCACAGACACTCAGCTGAGCGTGCAGGACAGAGAGGACTCGGGAGCCCTGGCTTGGAACACACAGGGCTGGAGCCATGGCTGCCCTGCATGCCCTCATCCTTTCCCTGCCCTAACTCACACCTTCATCTCATTTTATGTTCTCGTGTTCAGACAAGTGGATGGGATCTCAGCCTTCCTCTCCCCTCTTGCCTCTCCTGCTCGTGGGAGTGGTACACAAGAGAACAAGGTTTCTTTCCAGGACACCAGCTCTTGCAGATGTTACAGCAGGGCACGTTGGGATGTCAGCACTCAGACTCCTGTCCTCACACCTCGTAGTGTCAGTACACTCTCAGAAGCCTTTTCTTCCCTCTGCCTCTTCCCCTTCCCCCTCTGGCTTTGCTCATGTTTCTTCTCACTAGCTCTCTGGCTCTCTTGTCTCCTTTCCTTCTTCCCAAGGCTCTATACTGCTTTCATTTTTCTCTCCTGGAGCCTTTCTGTCTGCCTCCCTCCCTTGTCACTCTCTCTTGTCACCCTCCCTCATCTCTCCCCATTAGGATTTGCAGTGCAGGGGATCAGTCACAGAGGGATGTTTGCTCTAGCACAGCAGCTATTACCCAAAACTCAATTTCCCCCAACTTGAAATAGCTATTTCAAAAAAAAAAAATCTTTCAAATGGCTCTGTAACATTCTTATCTTCCTTGCAGTGTTGAGTCAACATACCTTCTGAGAGGAGAGATTTCTTCCTTTATCATTCAGGGCTAGGGGCTGAATTTAAATACAGTAATACATCCAATTTTCCCCTTTACTGTCCAAACCAATTGCAAAATAAAACACTTCTCCCCTCCCCACTCCACGCTTTCTTCTCACCTTTCTTCCAGACAATATTTGTTGTGCAAATGTAATATTTTCAAGCTCAGCTGATGATAGTAACATTTGTGATAAAACCCAAAACATAAAGGTAATGGCATTGTTTTTCTCTTTAATGTGCTTTGGGCACTTCCAAGGGAGGCTCTGGCAGGGCTCCCTCTGTGCTGGAAATGCATCAGGCAGTAGTTTCAGGGACACCCCCGTGCTCGGGTGGCACTTGGGGCAGTGGGCAGAGCAGGTTCCCCTGGCACAGGCAGCATCCTGCCCAGCTGGCTCACTCCCCCCCAGCCTTGGTAGCCACACCAGGCTCCCCAGCCTGCCCCTGGTGCTGTGAGAGCGGGCTGGGGTCTCTCCCAACCCAGGCCCCTCTCCTCCTCCTGTTCAACCAGAAGAAAGAGGAAGGTGGAGAGAAGGAAATTGGATCTCTGATAGAGGAGTTGAGTGTCAGTGATGCATGAGCTGCTGGAATTAGTGCTCTGGTTTCTCCAGCTCAGGAACCTCTGGGCCTGCACGTGTTGTTTGGCTGGGGCTGGGGGCTTGCTGAGCAGCCAGGCAGTGCCAGGGCTCCTTAGTCAGAGGCATGGCAGTGCTGAGCTCCTGCAGGATCCCACCAGATGTGGAGGAACTGACAGGTTAAGGAGGGAACCAACTGAAAATACACCAGCACTCTGCTGTCTTTTCCCACAGAATCCCAGCCTGGTGGGGTTAGAAGGGACCTCTGGAGATCATCTCCAACCCCCCTGCTCCAGCAGAGTGCCCAGCATGGTGTCCAGGCGGGTGTGGAATCCCCAGAGAAAGAGACTCCACAACCTCTCTGGGCAGCCTGCTCCAGGCCCAGCCACCCTCACACCAGAGAAGTTGAGGTGGCACCTCCTGGGTTCCAGTTGGTGCCCGTTGCCCCTTGTCCTGTCTCTGGGCACCACTGACAGAGTCTGGCCCCAGCCTCTTGCCCCCGGGGCCCTTTAGCTCTTGCTCAGCACTGATCAGATCCCCTCTGAGGCTTCTCCAACTGAACAGCCCCAGGGCTCTCAGCCTGTCCTCTGCTTTCCCCAGAGGGAAGAAGCCACACAGAGTAAGCAGCAGCTCTCCCTGCCCACTGCCTCTCACAGATTTTGGGCTCTTGTTTCCACTCTCTGTGTGCTTCCTTCTTTCTGTACCCAACTGGGTGATCAGATGCCTGCCAGACTCACTTAGCTGGCCTCGTGCCTGCTGCTCAGGACCTGGGGCTGCCCAGACTTCCTTTCCCATCCTTCATTACTTCACCCTCAGCTGCTCTGGACTTCCCAGCCTGAGCCAATCTGTTCCAGCCTCTTTCTGCATGAGCTGTGCTGTGCAATGGGGAGAGAGAGAGGACAGGAGTTTGGGGGACTCCAGCATTCATTCCTCCCTGTCCTGGGGAGCAGTCTGCTGGGGGTTTAGGACAGGAGCCTGGGAGTCAGGACTTCTGAGCTTGCTCTTCCCACCTGTGGTCTGGTGACAAAGGAGGAGCTGCGCACACCTTCCCATCCTGAGGAAAGGGAAGAAAATAAACCCAGGAATGTGTCGACACCTCTGAGGTGACACGTTGGCAGCACACCTTGTTTCCTGAGCTGGGTGGAGACCATCCTCCTGTACCACGGGTGGGTGGCAGCAGCTTGGTTTGCAGGGTGATAGGTTTGCAGGGAGTCAAGCTGAGAACTTGCCACTGGTGTGAGGAACATCTTGCCGCCGTTGAAGGGTCTCTGCAGCTCCTCACCAGGGAGGAGGTGCAAAACCCACCCCAGGGCTGACTGAAGGCGTCTCTCTTCTCTCCCAGTCCCAGGGAAGCCCATCCTGTCCGTGCACCAGACGGAGGAGAACACTCTGCTGGTGAAGTGGGAGCCTCCGTTGGACGCGGAGGGCCAGGTGGTGGGCTACAGGCTCCAGTTTGGCCGCAAGGACGTCGAGCCCCTGGCCACCCTGGAGTTCTCAGCCACGGAGGATAAGTACACGGCCCCCAGCATCCACAAAGGCGCCACGTACGTCTTCAAGCTGGCCGTGAAAAGCCGGGCTGGCTTCGGGGAGGAAGCCGTGCAGGAACTCACCACCCCTGAAGACATCCCCAAGGGTTACCCCCAAATCCTCGAGGCGAGCAACGTCACCGCCGTGTCGGTCCAGTTTGGCTGGCTGCCCCCCGTGCTGGCCGAGAGGAACGGAGCCATCGTCAAGTACACCGTGGCGTACCGGGAAGCCAGTTCTCCCGGCAACCCCCTGGAAAAAGACCTGCCCCCCTCCCCAGAGAACTCCTACACCCTCAACGGCCTCAAACCCAACACCGCCTATGACGTTAAAATCCGTGCTCACACCAGTAAAGGCCCCGGGCCCTACAGCCCGACCGTCCAGTATCGGACGTTCCAGCTGGATCAAGGTAGGACTTACCGGTTTCTCCTCCCTCCCTCTCTCCTTGTAACCGGGGGGCAGAGAGCTGGAGAGGTCAGGCCGGGCTCAGCCAGGCTCGTGAGTAAATGCAAAGCACTCTGGTGTCACACTCAGTCCCTCAGCTCCTCTCTGCCTTGTGCCAGGTAAGTCCCTTTTACGGCTTTCTTCTACGTTAAGTCCGGACACCTTCTTTCTCTGGCCCCTGAAGTGGGGGGCCAGTCGCTGTACAGGTGGTAAGAGCGTTTTCTTCAGCTTTTGTAAACAGCCAAAAGAAAAGAAAGCAAAAAAAATAAACCAAAATAAAATCAAAAACCAACTGGAAAACGTGAGCTGGGATGGGTTTCCTCACCTGAGCATGCTCAGAAAGCCAGCACCTCGTTCCTGCAGCAGCCACCCAGACCGTTCAGTGTGTGGGCAAAGCCACGCGCCCTCCCTCGCCCCTCCCGGGGGTCAGGCAGGGGGACAGGGGGCACAGGGAGATGGCAAAACCCTTGGCAAAACTCGAGCAAAGTGTGGAGGAGGGAGCGTTCCTGCAGTGGCAGCCAGACCCAGACTGGCTGCCTCTTTTTGTCAGTGCCTGACAGTCTCTTCCTTCTCTTTCTTGCTCTTCCTTCCCTCTGCTGCCTTGTCTTCTCCTCTCTCCCCTTCGGCCTCACTTTTCTCTCAGCAGTTTTACCCAAAAACTTCAAAGTGAAGATGGTGACAAAGACATCTGTCCTTTTGAGCTGGGAATTTCCTGAGAATTACAACTCTCCCACCCCATACAAGGCAAGTGGAGTGGAGGAGTCAGAACTGTGTTTCTTCCATATTTCCTGGGAGTCCTGTCTGTGGCTTGGAGTAAGGGGTTATAAGAGGCAGGAGCTCTAAGATTCCTGCCTCAGATATGGGCAGGTCATGGTCGATCACTAGATCAAGGAGGTGGGCTGAGTCAAGGCTGTTGAGTTGCATTCCCACCACTGTTACCAAGGCAGACAAAATCTCAAGGCTTGGGGACACTCGTGCTCAGAGGTCTCCCCACTCAAGTGTCTCCTGTTCCCCTGGTTGCTCCAGCTCTGGCAGAGCTGAGTGCCCCACGTTCTCTGCAGACCACAGCCACGGGGAGGAGGGAGTTTGGTTGCTTGAGCAGTGTCAGCCTTGCTCACAGTGGCACTTTGCTGCCTCTTCTCCCCATGATCTCCCCCCCCAGATCCAGTACAACGGGCTGAATGTCGACGTGGACGGCCGCACCACCAAGAAGCTCATCACCCACCTGAAGCCCCGCACCTTCTACAACTTCGTTCTCATGAACAGGGGCAATAGCATGGGGGGCTTGCAGCAGAACGTGGCGGCCTGGACGGCTGCTGACATGCTGTCCAAGAAGCCAGAGGTGACCCACAAGCCCGACGCCGACGGCAACGTGGTGGTGATTCTGCCAGACGTGAAGAGCTCTGTGCCTGTCCAGTAGGTTGCTGTTAGACTGCAGGTGTGGGGGGCTCAGTTTCTGTTGTGGGGGTCAGCCCTGATGGCTGGAGTCCACCCTACAAGGTGGTGGCAGGAGGGTGTTCCCTGTGTTTGTAGCCTTGCTTATTGTTGTCTTGAAGAAACGCTTCCCAGAGCTAATGGGGAATGCCAAAGAAATGCAAAGGGACTAAGGAGCTGGGTCATGAGGTTGTCACTGAATCCAGGCTCGTTCCAGGAGCAGCAGTAACAACTGTCCCAAATTAAAAATAAGGGATTTGATGGATTGGGCCAGTGGGGCTGTGAGGGCCAACTCCCCTTCCACATCAGGGTGTGCACTCTCTTCTTCTCGAGGAGATTAATTCCTTCTATTTCTTCTGGTTATTCCCAACTTTTAGGGCTTACTACATCGTGGTGGTGCCTCTAAGGAAGTCCCGAGGAGGACAGTTCCTCAACCCCTTGGGCAGCCCTGAGGAGATGGACCTGGAGGAGGTGAGTGTGGGTGAAGCTGTAGGGAGAGAGCAGAAGCTGCAATGGGTGGATGGTGACCTGAGAGCCCAGGAAGGCTGATTTGGAGCGGGGGGGTGCTCCATGTTCTGAGTATGTAAAGCGGGGCCAGTGTGGGTGGGATGACTTGGCTCCTCTTGCTCCCTGCTCCCTGCTCCCGTGGTGGTGCTGGAGAGGGAGGGCTCAGGGTGTTTCTCTGCCTCCTGCAGCTGGTCCAGGACATCGCCAGGCTCCGGCGCCGCAGCCTGCGCCACTCCCGGCAGCTGGAGCTGCCCAAGCCCTACATCGCCGCCCGCTTCCGCTCCCTGCCCTCCCACTTCGTCCTGGGGGACATGAAGCACTATGACAACTTTGAGAACAGGGCCCTGGAGCCAGGGCAGAGATACGTCATCTTCATCCTGGCTGTGCTGCAGGAGCCTGAGGCTGTAAGTGCCGCCTGCGTCCTCTTGCCCTCTTCAGATGCCTCTGCCCCTTTGTCCCCAGCGTGGACTGGAGACAGCAACAGCTCCACTGGGAGCTCCAGCAGCCCTGGTGCCCTCCTGGCATTCTCCATAACTCTCTCCCACCAAATGCCAGAGCTTTTCTGTTTGTAAAGACCTCCCTGTCTAGCTGTGGAGCTTTTGTGTTTGGCTGTTGGAGCTGCTGGTGCTTGTGTCTCCATGCAGCAGATCTGCATCCAGCTCTGGAGCCCTCAGCACAGGAGAGGCATGGACCTGTTAGAGCAATGTCCAGAGGAGGCCACACAATGATCTGAGGGCTAGAAGCCCTCTGCTATGAGGTCAGGCTGAGAGGGTTGGGCTTGTTCAGGCTGGAGAAAGGGAGGCTCTGGGGAGACCTTCTGGTGGCCTTTCAGTACTTCAGGGAGCCTGTCAGAAAGCTGGGGACAGACTTTGGAGCAGGGCCTGTTGGGACAGGACAAGGGAGATGGTTTGAAACTGAAAAAGGGAGATTTAGACTAGAGAGAAGGAAGAGATTTTTGATGCTGAGGGTGGTGAGCCCCTGGCCCAGGCTGCCCAGAGAGGTGGTCGCTGCCCCATCCCTGGAACCATCCCAGGGGAGGTTGGACCAAGCTCTGAGCACCCTGCTCTAGCTGGGGATGTCCCTGCTCCCTGCAGGGGGTGGGACAAGATGACCTTGAAAGGTCCCTTCCCACCCGACCTGCTCTGGGATTCTCTGAAGGGTGCTGCTGCTTCCCAGGATTCACTGACAGGACTTGCTGCACTTGTGGCTCCAGATCTGAGTCCAGACTGGGAAGCAGTGAACTCTCTGCTCAGGACTCTGCTCGAGTTCAGCCATCTCTGGTCAAAGCCCTTCCCAAGGAGTCATTTCATGGCCTTTTACTCCTCAGAGCAGTGACCCTGGACGTCCTGCTGTGAGGGCAGCGTGTCACACGCCCTGCTCATTGCTGAGCTCCCCACCAAGCAGAGAGGGGAACATTTTTGGATGGAAAGCAGCGTGTGCTCTGCACCACTCCAGCCCCTCTGCTGATCTCAGTGGTGCTGTGTTGGGCTTTATGAAAACAACTGTTTTAATATTTACCTGCCTCCTCCCTCGTGCACAATAGGAAGGAGTCTTAATACTTTGTTGTTTTAAATCCCCCTATGGAATTGTAGCAGGAAAGCTATTTGAAATTAAGGGTTTTCAGAGGGTGTTTTTTTTTTTTCCAAATAAATATTTAGTTGTGTATTTGATATTAAAGGATTAGGCTGACACGCTCCTGAATGGGTTTCTCAATCGGATTACTGCAGCTTGTGGTAATTTCTGCTTTGGAACAAGGTACTGCACAGGCTCACAGCAGATTCACAGCAGCTCCCAAGCACACAGCAGGATTTCAGCCTTGCTGAGAGCTGGTGGAGCTCAAGGACCCAGAGCCCAGATCTCCTGTTCTTGTCCTTTCCCAGCCTTTGCACTCAAACCAGGTCATGCCATTGTGCCTTCTAGTTTCTGTGTAAGGTAGGAGTGCATCATTCCTGGGCTGGGGAGGTTGTAGCACTCTTGAGAACAAGCAGGCAGTGCCCATTAGTTAGGACTCTGCTGGTTTTGAATGAGCCTCTGGTTCTCCTCAGGAGCCCAGCTTGCTGCAGAGGCAGCAGAGGAGACACGTTGCTTTTTATTAATTGATATTTAATTGTAACGATTGGGTTTTTGCAGTCACCAGACCAGCCTGTTTCTAAGCATTAGTTCTTGTTTTAATTCCTTCCCTCCTTCTCTGTAATCCCATCTGACTGTCAAAATCCAGATGGTTACCCAAGAGCTTGGAGGAGTCTTTGTGGCAGGGGAAAGGGCTCAGGGATGTGGTGAGCAGAGGTGCAGTCAGCTGGTTTTCTAAAAGCACCTTCCTGGCTACAAGACCAGGGGAGCCATGGGCAGAAGGCAGCCTCTGGCCTCCTGTGAAGGTGACCTGTCAGTGGTCTTCCTTTCCTGGAGCAGGAAGATACCCAGCCCATGGATGCTCACAGACAGGAGTTTAGTCCTTAGGGCATTTTCTCTGTTATTCATCAGTTCATGCTGCAGAAAGCTCTCTCTTTCCTCTCCAGCAATTCCTCCCGTGCAACTCTGGCTGCTTGCCCACTGCTTTCAGTCCCCCTTTCCACCTCTGAACTGTGTTCCACAATCTTTCCTGTCTTCCAGACTTTTGCTGCCAGTCCTTTCTCTGACCCCATCCAGCTGGACAACCCGGACCCGCAGCCGATCATCGATGGAGAGGAAGGGCTCATCTGGGTCATCGGGCCCGTCCTGGCCGTGGTCTTCATCATCTGCATTGTCATTGCCATTCTGCTCTACAAAAAGTAAGAGGAGCTTCTCACCCAGATCTCTGACCCTTCTGAATGTCCCCAGTTCTAGCCCCTAAAGGGGATTTCCTTCCTTGGTCCTCTGGCTGTCAGCTCGGGGCAGATCCTCCTGCCAGCACCAGAGAGAGGAGCCCCAAGGCACAAGTGCTGTAGGGGAAGGGTCTGGCTGGCACAGGAGAGATTAGCAGTGGGGTGCAGGGACTTGCTGCTTCAGAGCCCACCCCACAGCACCCAGCAGAGCTGTGCTTGTCCTGCAGACAGTCTGCTGTGGCATGTGTGCAGCGAGTTTGTCAGGTCTCCTGCAGGAGCCCAGCTTGCAGCCTCGGTTTCCCCTCTCTGTGCTCTCTGGGTGTGTGCACAGAGGGGATGGTGCAGAGCAAGCACCTTTGTGCTGTGAATCAGCAGAGCCCTCTGTTCTTCTCAGCCTGGTCTTCAGCTGGAGCTGGGAGATGAGAGCAGGGGTGTGGTGTGGCTCTGCAGGGGAGAGGAAGGACCAAGCCCTGGCTGCCTTCCAGCTCACGGTGTGTGGATGAGGACAAGAGCCCCCTGAGCACACTGAGAGGTGAACGAGGACAGGAGAGGGGGCAGATGCTGAGCAAAATGGATGAAGAAAAGGGCAGGATGGCAGCTAAGGCCAGTGCAGGGGTGTCCTTAGCTGGGACATCTGGTGCCCAGGATGGAGGGAGCTCTCCTGACCCTGCTCCATCTCCCAGCCCTGTTTGCTGAGGCACGCTGGTGTGGCTGCTGGGAGAAGCTGCTGGCCAGGAGTGCTCTGGGGACAGGGACTCAGGTGGTCCTTGCTGGTGTCTCTTAGCCCTGATCCAAAGGGGTGATCTTTGCTGGTCCCACCTGCTCCTGTTCCCAGGGTTAGAGCTGAGCACACGCTTCCCATTTCCTCTGCAAGTCCTTTCTAACCTGAACATTTGTCTTGTCTTCTCTCCACTTACTGCTTTCCTGGACAGCAAGCCAGACAGGTAAGAGCACCAGATTTGCCATTTACTCAGGTTCTTTCTTGCCATGTCTTAGGCAGTGGTTCCTGGCTGTGGTGCTGGGGGTTTGCTGGGTACAGTTCCTACCATCAGATCTGTCCTGGCAGAAACCCTGTGTCAGACTAGCATGGGACCACCTTTGAGTCAGGGTGACAGAGCAAAGAAAGCTCAGCTCTCTCCTGGTTGTCCAGTCCCAAATAGAGTGGCCCTTTCTCAAGCTTAGCAGTGACAGTAAACAGCTCATAAAACGTTGGGTTAATGGAGCAGAGAAACCTCCATTTCTGTTGCAGGCAGAGGAGAAAGTGCTTTTCTCCATGTCTGACTGCTCCAGGCAGGCTGAGCTGTTAGTGCCCCATCAGCCAGGGACTTCCAGCAGTTTGTTGAGGAGTGCAGAACTGAGACTTCTCTCGAGCCATTGCCAAGGCTGGGAGAGCTTTTGCTGGAAGGAACTGATGGGTTTTGCCAGTGAACTATTAACAGCAGTTTCAGAACTGTGGCAAAAACAAACTCTTCCCAAAACTGCAAAGTGGGGTCATTCCAAAATGTTGCCCCATGCAGTGCTGGCAGGGTTCATGTAACACTTCTAGCTATTAATGAGATAAAGAGACAGCTAAAAATGTACCTAATAACCTCCTCTCTGCTGAAGTACTTGCCACAATTGCTGCAGGCACAGTATTGGAGGCTTCTGTTCAAGCCAAGGAGAGGTGAGGATGGGCTGGAAGGACATGGACAGTGTCTGCAAGCCCCAGGGTGAGGGGACACACACATTCCCTGCCCAGTGGAGATGTTCTGCTCCCAGCAGCTTATCACTGTACCCTCACCAGAGGTTATCACAGCTTCAGATCAGCACTGGGCTTTGCTTCTCCAGGAGAAGGAGCCAGGTCAGCAAAGCCTCCTCAGCTCACCTAACCCCTTTTGAGCAAAAGGTGTTGGGAAGGACTTACGTGTGCAGCTCAGCTGGCAGGGCTGGAGTGGGCTTCAGCTTCTGGCAAGGAGGTGAGACAGATCTCAGCAGGCACAGCTGTGATGGGAGAGGATGTGTCTACACTGGGTTTTAAACACAGATTTTTAGGATTCTGCAGATGAAAAGATGTGGAAAACCACTGCTCTGACTTCTCAGTCAGCAGCAGGGCACGGAGAGCTCCTGAGCAAGCCAGCAGAGCAATAGTTCTGCTTTATGGCCAAGGTCACGGCCAGAAGGTTTTGTACTTTTCCAAATGATTATGTTGGCTCTGGTTCTTTCAGGCTGCAAATGGCTTGGCCAGAACTGGAAGGTTTCTGCTTGCAGAGGTCTGCAGAGTTCAGTGGAAGCTTGTCTGGGCAGAGAGGCTGAGGTGTGAGTTCACAGCACCTCAGCTGCTCCTTGCTGCCTGTTTGTGCTTAGTGAGAAGGGAAAGCTTCCAGACTCTCCTGGAAGCTGCTGAGGGGCAGCTGGGCCGTTGTAAACCCATCAAACATGGTGCTGACAAAACCTTCCAAACCCCATCCCTTTTCTGGTGTATTTTATGTAACCTGCATCCTCGGCTGCATCCAATCCTGATTTTGGTGGGAGCTATGCTCAGCTCTGAACGTGGTCTGAGTAGCTGAAAAGACTAAAAGGCCCATAAGCTGAGCTGCTCTGTCTTTGTTTTTTTTTTTTTTTTTCTCTTTGTTTGTTTCTTTGGTTTTTTTAAAAGCAAACGGAAAGATTCAGAGCCGAGGACAAAATGCCTCCTGAACAATGCTGAAATCACCCCTCACCACCCTAAGGACCCTGTGGAAATGAGACGCATCAACTTCCAGACTCCAGGTAACCTGCTGCTGACCGACCTTCCTCCCTGGGAAGGCAGGAGGGGAGCAACTGCCCTTCCCTCAGCCCCCCCCCCGGGGGCCTCCCTGCGAGCCCCAGGGATCAGCCAGCCTGCAGCCGAGCAGCCTCCAGCCTGGGCCCTGCTGAGGAAACCCTTGCTGGGAGACCTCCAGGACCTCGCCCAGGCTCTAGCATGCTGGGAGGAAAGGCTCAACTGGCTTCCCAGCTGGAACTGGGGCAACCTGGGCTAAGGTGGCCGTGCCGAGCTCGCCAGCCCGCCGCCTCCGCCTGGGTGGAGGTGAAGCGTGGGAGCTGCTGGGCACAGCGAGTTCCAGCCACGGCTGGGGCTGGGGCTGCTCTGCCAGAACACTCCTGTGGGGAGCCAGGCTTGGGTGGAGAGGGGTGGCAGCTTCGGGGAGGGGTG